TGGACGTTAAAAGTAACAAACTTAGCAGAGATGGCTAAAATATTAGCATACCTCAAGGACCACTCAAATGAGAAGTACAAGTTGGAATGGAGAAGATTGACTGATTATATTCAAAATAAATATTGGACTAAGAAATTTCAGTTAGCCTATGAATGAATGAACAAGGAATGTTACAATTTACTTAAAGTTAGCTTAATAAAAGGGGAGTTAAATTATAAGTGAAGGTACGACGCTAAAGTTAGTTAGTTTATGTTAGTGTATGATTGTTAAACGTTTATACCCTTTATTTTGCTCCGGGAGGTTGGGGGGAGGGAGGGTTGGAAGGGGTGAGGGGTTGGGGTGAAGGGAGAGAAGGGGAAGGGGAAATACTTGTAAAATCTATTAAAACTCTTTAATAAAAAAAATAAGAGCCAATTGCCAATTGTCCAAGTTTTGATCATGTGGCCCCTGAGGATTTTGCAACGGCCGGGTGAAAAATGGTTATAAGTCACTTTTTTTCAGGGCTGTTGTAACTTTGAATGGTCACTAAATGAATAGTTGTAAGTCAAGAAACACCAAGTGTGGGACTGAGCTAGTTCGGACCAGTTCGGACGAACCAGTAGCTCCAACGATCAGCAGGGGAGCGAATCAGTTCGCTCCGATGATCATGTTGGTCCGCCCACCTGCCTCTACACTTCACTTACCTTATATCCTCTCAGCTGATTCATGTGGCAGAGTGGATTGCCACTCCTCAGCTGTGTTACTCCCGAGAAGTAACGTGGGAGGTAAGTTTTGTTAAAACTGCTGGGACGCGCGCAGCATGTAATCACCAAAGCGGTTGTTAAACTGGCAGGATCCCACCACTGAGGAACGCTTGTATAGAAACACAATCATGCATAGGTACAAGCACACATTCAAATGTACCTATCTTGAACTTATTGTATTTTTAAAAAAATAGGTCAAAGCTTGTGAGTTTGCCAGAACTCTCCCAAGATTGCATTGAGGGATCCCAAAGGGAAATTGGTAATATCTCACTAGCCTTTGGAAAGATCTGAGTGGGTTTTGTTACTTTTTATTTGTTTAAAAACCCACTTTGCAGTGTCCAGTTGTATTACAGTGCATGATATCTGTTGCCTAGGAAGGGTGCTGGGTTTTTGCTCAAGATTGGTTTTAAAAGCATGAAGTTGGGATTGAGAAAATGTTTCAGGAAGTGATTCTTCTACACAGGGTGCAGCGGATGAGTTGGCCTGTAATTTCACTCACTCCCCAATTCCGCTGTCAAACAGCTATGACTTTTAGCCTCTGTTCCTCTTGCTTCTCTCCTCCCTCCTTGCAGCCCAGCGCTCAGCTCAAGAACTCCCACAAGTAGAGCATTACAGTCTTAGCGCCTGCTCGGTGCATGGTGGCGAAGAGATGGTCATTAGTGGAGCCAACTTTCTGCCAGAATCAAAAGTTGTTTTCATCGAACGAGGCCCTGGTAAGTGAGATCTGGTTCCTTTCCTTTCCTTCTTTCCCTTCCCTTCCCTTCCCTTCCCTTCCTTTCCGTTCTTTTTCCTTCCTTTCCTATCCTCTCCTCCCTTGTGGGTTCGGACTATTTTTATCATCTCCTGCTTTTAATCTTCACGAAGGAGTTCGCCGGATTAAGTGACTCTTTGCCCTGATCCAGAAAACTGCACCTCCATCTCTTACACCAGTATCAGCGTCTGATCCGTTGGTGAACTCATAGAGAACTAGCTCCTTTTTTTCTTGTTGGTTTCAGATGGAAAACTTCAGTGGGAAGAGGAAGCAAATGTTAATCGCTTGAAAAGCACAGAGGTGAGCATGAGAATTATACACTATCATCTATGGGCAGGGGTGGGCTGCCCAATGGGTTCTCTGCCAGGTTGCTGGGTGGGCATGGCAATGGTGGGCGTGGCCTCCTGCACCATGGCGGTGGTGGAGGGGGAGGGGTTGCCCTCTCTGGGCTTCAGAGGCTTTTATTGAGCCTCCGGAAGGGTGAAAAGAGCCTCCACAGACTCCGGAGGCCCTCTGGAGGCCAAAATGGGCCTGTTTCAGCCTTTCTGAACTTCTGGTAGGCCTGCTTTTTGCCCTCCCTGAGCCTCTGCATGTACTCTGCACTTACCTGCATCCTAAGTGGGCTTCCTGGGAGAGGAGGGGAAGGTTGAGCAGGGTCAGCCAGGAGTGGGATTGGGGGGGGGGGTTCTCTGAACTGCACAGAAACTTAGCTAGAAGTTCTCCCAAACCTCTGAGAACCCCCAACAGCCCATCCCTGACTATGGGACCACATTGGAGAAATTTTCCCAGCCACGAGGCAGGTTTTTTTTTTCTTCAATATAACAGCAATTGATGGGTAGTGATTGGAGCAGGGCATTCTTCTTCCTGGGTTCCTTAATTTGATTGTTCTCAAATATGTGGACTTCACCTCCCAGAATTCCTTAGCTACTTCAGCATGGTCATTGCTGAGAATTCTGAGGAATTGGAAAAAAGCATATCCAGATTGTGGAATTACCAATAGCAATAGCACTTTGACTTGTATACCGCTTCACAGTGCTTTTACAGCCCTCTCTAAGTGGTTTGCAGAATCAGCATATGGCCCCCAACAATCTGGGTCCTCATTTTACCCGCCTCGGAAGGATGGAAGGATGAGTCAACCCCTGAGCCTGGTGGGATTCAAACTGCCAAATTGCAGGCAGGCAGCAGGCAGCAGACATAGCCTGCAGTACTGCACTCCAACAAGGCTCAACAACCTTCTCTATTGTATTTACTTGCCTTGACACCACGTCCTCCTCCTTCCACAGGCTTTGCTGACCCTCACCATTCCTGAATACAGCAACAGGAGAGTTTCGCGGCCTGTTCAGACTTACTTCTATATTTCCAATGGGCGCCGGAAAAGAAGTCCGGCTCAAGGCTTCAAATATTTGCCTGGTAGGTGGACCTGGAAGATAAGAATCGCTGAGTGCTAAAATGTGCTCGAAGCCCAGGGGTGGGCTTCAAAAATTGCAGCAACGGGTTTGCTGCCCCGTTGCTAGGTGAGTGTGGCTATGGTGGGCATGGCCCAGTGGGCCTCCTGCACTATGGCAGGAGGCTTCACATTTTTCACCTTCCCCAGGCTCCTGAGGCCTTCCTCAAGCCTCTGGAAGGGCAAAAACTGCTTCCGCCGGGCTACAGAGGCCCTCCAGAGGCCAGTAAAAGGCCTGTTTCCGGACTTCCTTCGGTAGGCCTATTCCACCCCCTCCCTGAGCCTCCGTGTGGGACCTGCTCTTATCTGGCATGATGAACGGGCTGTATGGAGACTCCTGGGAGGAGTGGAGTGGGGTGGGGGGGAGGGGAGGGGCAGAGTAGCTATGTCCAGCCAGGGTTGGCATTTGGGGGTTAACCAAACTGGGCAGAATCCTAGCTAGAGGATCGCCCGAACGCGTGCGAACTCCCAGCAGCCCACCCCTGGACTGTCAACCTTCTCTTCTTCTCTAGTGATCTTCAAAGAAGAGCCACATCTGGATTCCACGCCCCATACATTCCCACACATCACTCCAAATGTTCCCTTTTCACTACCACCAGCACACGGGGGCATGGATTTCTCCCCTTCCAGACCTCCCTTCTCTTACAGTCCCGAGCGCTCCCCACCTTGTTCCCCATATGGCTCCAACTGGAGCCCTTGCTCATTCTCAACACCTCCCCATTACAGCCCGGCCTTCCGCTTCCCTCCCAGTGAGACCTATGGAGGCGTTAACCTCTCTGTACCTCGCCTTGCTCCCCCAAGCCTGCCCCACCTTCACACATTAGATTGCCACCCTCCACACTTCCAGCCCGCTAGTCCACAACATAGTCCTCATGCACCAGGAGGGAGAGAAACCCATAGCGGGGAGAGGTCACCAGAATGGACAGATCCAGACCTTGGATCCCAGGAGTTTAACCCCAAGGAACTGGAGAAATCGGGGTTCAGCAGTGGCTTCCGGGAAAACTTGCCTATCCATGGGATCACACTGGAAGAAGGTAAAGGTAGATTTGAGAAGCTTTAAATAAGATTTGGTTTCAATTTAAGAAGACTAACCAGGTTTTCCTCTTTTTTTCTATATGAAAACCTAGCCCTGCCAAAATCAGGTCATAATGACACAGAATAGCAATAGTGATAGTACTTAGAGTTATATACTATTCTGTAGTGCTTTATAGCATTCTCTGAGCTGTTTGCAATGTTGGTATCTTGCTCCCAACAATCTGGGTCCTTGTTTTATTAACCTTTGAAGGATTTAAGGCTGAGTCAACCTTGAGCCAGTCAGGATTGAAATCTTGGCTGTGGGCAGAGTTAATCTGCAATACTGCATTCTAACCACTGTGCTGGTGGTGTGAATGCTTGCCTTGGAGCTTTCAGATCACAGCTGTAGAAATCAAGATCACCTCAAGGTGGTAGGACCGAGAGACAAAACATTCTCTTGCTTCCATCTAGGGGCCATCTGGAGCATTGCAGTCCAGATCTGGTAACCCTCACCTCTCTTGAATAAGTAGCTTTCCTCATCCACTAGGACTTATTTGTGTTAGTGTTGTGCCTCACTAGTAATACTAAATTAGCAAAAGTAGCAGAATGAGGCTGGCGCCACAGAAAATGATAGGCTGCAGAAGGCAGCTCGACAAAAATAAATGGCATTTATAGTCTTTTCACCTCCTGTTCAAAAAGATGAATGGTTAAGCCAATATTCATAGTCACTTTTTCTCAAAAGACAGGTCCAATCAGGCTGAATTTGAAAATGAGCTTCAACTCAAGTGTCTGCATAGGACTAACCTTAAGCTCATTTCCAAAGTATTGGGCATTGAGTTAAACTTCCAGCTGAGCCCTACATATCCTGTAGGGCTCAGCTTGAAATTTAATACTTTGAATGACTGAGCAATTAGTAGTGGGTGTTGGTGGCCACAATTTCAAAGAATTTTAGTGGAATTATAGATGGAGAAAGCTGGGATTTCTCCCATTCAAGTACAGACTCAGTCCAGCCCTTTTTAGTATTCTGAAGATTGCCATCTACTGTTATATGGGAAGCGGTGGCTCAGTGGCTGAGTCATTGAGCTTGTCGATCAGAAAGGTCGGCAGTTTGGTGGTTCAAATCCCTAGCGCCACGTAACGGAGTGAGCTCCCATTACTCGTCTCAGCTTCTGCCAACCTAACAGTTCGAAAGCATTAAAAATGCAAGTAGAAAAATAGGGACCACCTATGGTGGGAAGGTAACAGCCTTCCAGGCACCTTCGGCATTTAGTCATGCTTGCCACATGACCACGGAGACAACTTCGGACAGTGCTGGCTCTTCGGCTTTGAAACGGAGATGAGCACCGCCCCCTAGAGTCGGGAATGACTAGCACATATGTGTGAGGGGAACTTTTACCTTTAGCTACTATCATCGATTCTAGACTTGCACAGTGTTACGCTATAAATCATTATTTCCAAGCCATGTTGGTTGGGTTGACAGGCCAAACCAAACTAAACATTGATGACACTATGGATTTGAGGATGTTTCATCCTGGCTGCTGATCCAAATTGTTTTCTCAGTTTTTCAGTGCATGTGCCTTGAGAGATGAGGAACTAAATCTGATATTAGTTGAGGTTGAAAATGGCTGTTTGATTACTTCTGTTGGTTGCCCTTCAAATCCATCCAGGCTGAGCATGAAACTTAAATTGCTACCCACTATTTCTGTCCAGTCTTCTTGTCTTTTCATCCTATGCTCATTAGATTTAGTTATTTTATTTAGTTTGTCAAACATGCACAAGGTAACAGGTATAGGTATAAACATGGAGATGAACAAGGAAAATGGGTACGAATAAATGGGGACAGTAGGACAGGGACGGTAGGCACGCCGGTGCATTTATGCAATCCCCCTTACAGACCTCTTAGGAAAGGAATAAGATTCACGCTAGACAGTTTAAGATTAAAGCTTTGGGGGTTTGAGGATATAACAACTCCCCCTACATTTTCTGGCAAAATGAACCAGCCGTGTTTAAAATTAGCTTCTGTCATTATCTCTTGGGGGAAGAGCAATTGACCTTAGGGAGGGTTGATCCAGTTCATCCCGTTGATCCAAACTACACTACAAACTTTGCTAGCAGGTGAAAGGACTTTGTGTTCATGCACAGCGCAATGAAGGAGAATATTTATAGAATATTTGTAGCTCAGGATTCAAATGAGAGGTCCATTTATTTATGTATTTATTTGTTTGTTTGTTTGTCAAGCATGTACAAGATAACAGGTATAGGAATGAACATAAACATGAACACAGGAAGTAAATACAGATAAATGGGGATACTAAGACAGGGACAGTAGGTATGCTGGTCCACTTATGCACACCCCCTTTACGGACCTCTTAGGAAAGGGGTGAGGTCCACGGTAGACAGTTTAAGGTTAAAGCTGTGAGGGTTTGAGAATGTAACAACGAAGTCAGGTAGAGCATTCCAGGCATTGACCACTCTGTTGCTGAAGTTGTATTTTCTGCAATCGAGTTTGGAGAAATTTACCTTGAGTTTGTATCGATTGTTTGTCCCTGTATTATTGTGGTTGAAGCTGAAGTATTCATTGACAGGTAGGACATTGTAGCAGACAATTTTGTGTACTACACTTAGGTCAGACCTTAGTCGGCGTAATTCTAGGTTGTCCAAGCCCAAAATTTCAAGCCTGATGGCATAAGATATTTTGTTGTGAGCAGAGGAGTGGAGGACTCTTCTCGTGAAATACCTCTGGACTCGCTCAATTGTATTAATGTCCAATATACAGTGTGGATTCCAGGCAGACAAGCTGTATTCGAGAATTGGTCTGGCAAAGGTTTTGTATGCCCTAGTTTGCAGTACAATGTTACAGGAGAAGAAGATTCGCAAAATTAGGTTAACAACTCTTAATGCCTTTTTTGCAATGCTGTTACAGTGAGCTTGACTTAGCCCAGCAATGGAGCAGCCAACCAGGAGATGTCCACTCACAGGGGCCTGGCAGGCTGTTAACACACTGCCCATGTTCAAAACAGAACCTGGGAATTATGATTCCAGCACTGTTGCTCATAATAAATTTCCCACAATAACAAGCGTTGCAGGCTAAGCCTCGGAAATTTCAATGGCTTGGTTAAGGCCACCTAGTGAGTTCACAAGCTGCTGTATGGTGAGCTTTCCTTCAAATTGGCTCTCGCTTTCTCTCCTTTTCTTTTTTTTCTGACTACTCTCTCCAGTTACTGAGATCATTGGCAGGGACTTAAGTGACTTTCCGGAGCCATCCTGTGAAGGAGGACAGAGCTGAATAGTGATCAGAATTCTGGAGTTCATAAAGCTTGAAGAAGACTGGAAGTCAGCCCAGAGAAAGCATAGATGTCCAGGACCACACACAAAAAAAAAAACCAGCTGGGCCAGCTTCTGAGGATTTTGACATGGATGAATTTGAATCTGTTTTCTTTTATCTTCTACCTGTGTTTTCTTTCAGCCTTCAATTAGGGGCCTCCTATAACTCAACGCAGAGTCCTCATTAAATCTTCTGTCCTCCTGCTCTTTGCAGTCAAGAGGTTTCAAAGAGCTGACATCATCATCCCTCCAAGACTGGAGCACCTGTGGTCCTGAAGAAGTTGCTAAATGACAATTCCCACACTCTAACATTTACTGTGTTGGGGGACCGGATATCAGTTGCTTAACCATCTTTCTCCTACTTAGTGGCTGCCCTCTATCGGTCAATTTATTTATCCGGTACTCCACGATAAAGAGTTTGGGCAAAAGTGTGAGACTACCTATTGAGTTACCATGCTCTCGCCAATGCTTAGTCCTTTATTTATCTGCTCCACATTTACATTTTGGAGAGCTGTATGTCCTATGATAATTGATTCCATGGACTAATCTATCTTATATGGCTATCTAAGTAAGAACCTCAGTTTCCCAGGATATTATGTCTATACTACACATCTCTCCAGTGGTGGGATTCAACCGGTGTAACAACTGCTTTGCTGAGTGCAGTGCATTTGAAAACAACTCTAAAACTTACCTTCTGCTGCCGCCCGGCTACTAAAACAGCTGAAGCACGGCAATCCGTTCTCCCACACCTATCACCTGGGCTTCAAACAAAGGAAATATTTGTTTCCTTTATTTGAAAGACAGACTATCGCAGGGGAGTGTGGGCGGAGCCAACTGATCACTGGAACTAGCGGTTCGCCTGAACCGGTCCGAAACAGCTGAATCCCACCCCTGCATCTGTCCAGAGTTCTCTGTCATGTCCATCCTGTTTGTTTCCTCAAAACCAGCAAGAGGGTTGCCATGCTCGCCTTCTATCTAAACTACCTCTCATCCTTTCTGTAATGGGGAAGGCTTCAAACGTATTCTCTGCCCAACCCCATCCCTCTGTAGAGGAACGGTGATGTAGGAGATGCTTCTCAAACCATGACGTTCAAATAGTGTTTGGTGATCACAGACCTTGAGAAATTTCAAGCAAACTTGGTACACAGATTACTTACCCTCTGGAAACAAAAACTGTGGGGAGTAAGATACCCCTAACCCCCCTTCGGGGTGGGTGTTCTGTTAAGATGCAACCTGTTGTGCCTTAAAATGGCTTCTCCTGTGCAGCACAGTGGAGTTGCCATGGTAACAGCTTCACTGTACTCCACAAGGGGGCTCCCTCTGGTAGGGGGGGAAATTCAATATTAGAAATTAATGTTTGGTCCGGACATTTTCCCCCTATAAATAAATACCCGGGGAATGTCGGGTTATCAGCTAGTGATCAATTAAAAAGTGCTCCTAAAATTCTTGATCTTTGTATATTGTCTGCAAAACACATCTGGGCTGATACAGAGAAACAATTTGCAGAGAATGGATAGGGGTAGATCAGTTTCATCCTATTTCTGCATATTCCCCAAACTCTGTTCTGCTTCTTTGCAGATGTTTAAGAAATGAGACCAGGGATTAAGTAAACAAATAAAGGTTTTTTAAAATACTTGGTGACGGTCCAAAAGCTGAATTATTTGTGTTTGTCAAAGGAAAGCATTCATCCTGCGTATATCATAGGAAGGTTCTCGTAACTGCATTTGTTGGTGTCACTGAAAAGGGGATAATGTTGTAAACTATTCAGTGTCTCCTCACAATGCAAGATGAGCAGTGCATACATATAATAAATGCAAATAAATAAATATGGCCCAAAAGATCCATGAGGAGGTCTGATAACATCGTAACATATATGATGTCATTTCCTCCTCCTCCTCTTCACTGTAAATCAGAGGTGTCAAACTCACGTCATCATGGCGTCATCACATGACTTATTGTGACTTTCCCCCCCTCTCCGCTAAACTGGGTGTGGGCATGGCCAGCACGTGACTCATCCAGCCTGCAGACTGCAAGTTTGACAGCCCTATTATGGATTTGCTTCTGAGTGGAATAGGTAAAAGTCATTGTGGCAAACTCCTACTATTCATACTAAAAGAAGCCCCAATTTTCTACTCTCGGAAGAGCTTTACGGCGTGAAACATAATAACAACAACAACAAAGACAAAGCCAATGGTTGAATATTATAAAAATTACACAAGTATTCCCAAGCGATGAAACTGGGACATTTGATATTTCTATATGACAGGAAAATTCCTGAATTTGAGTATTAAAAAAAATGCAAATCCACATGAACTCATTTCCTCTCATAGGAACAAATGCAATGGAGGAAAAATTTTGGGAGATCTCTATAATGATTGCAAGATGCTGATAGCAAGAAAATGCAGGGCTTTAGCTATCAGTACCTTTTTGTTTAGTTCAGTCATATGCCTGTATGGGTCTTCTTGTTCCATATTTACCTGCCTCTTATGTTAAAATCTAGTAGTGGATAATTTAACAATCGCTTCTCTGCTCTAATGACTGGATGGGTGGGTGTGGTCATGGTGGGTGTGGCCAGGGGTGTGACAGGCAGCTCTCCTGCACCCCCTGGGAGAAAAACAGGCCGTAGGGGAGGGCACTGCATTCTCCCCCACCCCATTTGGGGCCTAGTACGCCTCCCTGCAGCCTCCTGGGAGCAAAAATGGGGCCTAAGGGGACTCTAAGGAGCAGGGCCAGCCAGAAATTTAACAACCGTTTCACCTGAACTGGCCCAAACCGGCTGAATCCCACCACTGTTAAAATCTCATCTCCAAGATGTTTCTGCATACTGCAAGCGTAATTGATTCATGTGACATTTTTGTTCTGGTTATGGTATCGGTACATACGTTGACAAATCAATAAATAACTTTAACCCCAATCCATTTTGCAGGACAAAAATAGCTAGAAATCCAAAATAAACATATCAGCATGCCAAAAAAAAAAAAAAAAAAAAAAAAGGAACAAGAATAACCTGCCTTTCTCAAAATGAGCAGGAAACAAAAAATTGATGATCATGCACAATTATTATTTCAGCTCTCATTTTATATTATATGTTCCTATCATGGGCACCTCTGCCTTGGCAAATCAAACTCTAATCTCCGCAGACCTAACTGGATTAAAATTAAAGGTTGGGAAAAGGGGATGATGTCAGCCTCTACTTTGCTTGCTTGCTATCGGCTGCCATAGTAACAGGGAGTGTGTGGGCTCGTATTTTTTTTGGGGGGGGAATTGTTAGATGCTGGAGGAGTTATCATGAAGGGAGTTGTATTCTTGGGATCTTCTGTGCATGCTAATGGCTCGTGTTTGGGCTTAGTCAAGGTCAACTGTCTCTGCATACCAGCTGAATGAGGCCACGTGAAGATGCACCTCACAGGACACTTTGGGAGTTTCCGATTGGACATTGGGTTGGGGTAATTGGGTAAGCGTTTGATATGTACATATTCATGCTTTTTATCTTCAGATCTTGTTTCCCTTTAGCTGCTTTCATGTCCAGCAAAAGTCTCTTTATCTCTATTCAAATGGAGTTGGGGTTTTTCTTTCTTGGATACTGAATGAGGCATGCCTGACATTAAGCAAGATCTCTCTTCGCACCCATCCCGGAGTTGAAAGCTACTGTGAGGGGAGCACTGACATGTCTAATCCTTGCAGTGACCAGGAGGACATGGGGGCTGCTGGATCCCCCCCCTCTCTTGGAAACAGAATGGATGGCTGAATTGAATCTGGAAGAAAAATCAGTCTAACCCAAATGGTCGCTGGGAGTGGGACAGATGAATGATCCTGAGGAGATGCTGGCAGAAGTTACAACCACCTGGTGCCATCAACCAGAGGCTACCTGGCAGGAAGCCGAAAAAGAGAATCTCATGATGATCCAGGCGTTACAACTTTTACAAGAAGCCCGAGGGAATCGCCATATGTGTGAAAGTCACACAACAGAGAGAACAGCTGAGCAGGCGGAGGGGGAGAAGACACCCTGGCTAACCCAGAATTGGCCCTAGGAGCTGCTCCAGGAACCAGGCAAGCCAGAGGAGTTCCAGCCGCCACCACCGCAGCAGCAGTTCAAGTTCCTCCAAGGCCCACGAAGGCATTGAATTCCAAAGATTCCTCCACTCGGCGTGAAGTATGGGGGAGATCCCAAAGCACTGGGAATATTTTTGGTTCAAGTTTGGAACTATATTCAAGAGTATGGAGAGGATTTCCCATCAGAGGTTCCCAAAGTGTTACTATGGTATTGGAGGTCAAAGCAGCTGATTGGATGGTGGCTCCACATAACAATGATTCCCCCCAGCTGAGAGATCACAATGTGTTTATGATGGCCCTGAGGGCACACTTTGATGATCCCCTCGCAAATCAGAAGGCAAGAACCAGGATGAAAACTTTAACCCAGGATCAGAGGTCTGTGGCAGAGTACACTCAGGAGCTTCATCAGCTGTCTGTGCACATGCGGGGGTTGTCTCAGGGGGCATTGATGGACAGCTACATGGACGGCCTTGATGATGATGTGTGCCAGAGGTGTGTGAATGGGGGGCTGCAACCTGCAACATTGGTATGTGCTGGCTGCTGATGTGGAAATTGACCTAGCCAGAAATAGATACCATCAAGGCAGCAGCTGGAACGAAAAAAAACCCTACCCTGAAAGAGGCATCAAGAGCAGGAAAAGGGGGGGTCAGCAACCAAGCTGAGAACAATGGCGGGTTTCCGATGTGGAAAGGAGGGGCATTTAGCTGCCAACTGCTACTCTAAGTTGGGCCCAAAACCACCTTCGGCTGGAGGGGGAAAAAACCCAACAAGCAGCCAGGGAAATGCCGTGAAACAGCCCTGAAAGGCATAGAAGTCGCCAATTTCTTTCCTCCAGGCCAGGAGGAGAAGAAACCCCCCTTTCTTTGGGAGAAAGTGAAACCAACTCTGATGATGACCCCATGGTAAGTCCTCATGAGGGCCCCATGACCATTATATTAGAATTAAAAGTACCCTCGACTGGTGCCCAGGGGAAGATGCTGGCCCTTTTAGATTCTGGTTGTACCAGATGTGTAATTAGCCCAGAGGTGGTGGAAAAATGGATTTACGACTGAGAACTATGAAAGTACCGATTGCCTTTTGTCAGTTGGATGGGTGAGCTGCAGGGGGGGGGGGCATTTTGTACCCGAACCAGTGGAGATGCGGATGTGGGACCACCAAGAATCCTTGAGTTTCATTGTGGTGCCAGGGATGGAACGGCCCCTTATATTGAGATTACCTTGGCTATGGAAATGGAAACTTCAGGTGAACTGGTGGAAGGGGTGGTAAGCTTACAGAGGGGGAGGGGAAGACTTCCCACCTAGCCAGAGTCAAAGCAGACCTGGCCGCATTTGCGAGTGAAAAAATTGAGGGGGAGAAAAAAAATTCTGAAAGAATACTGGGACCTCTAAGAGGCTTTCAGCTAAAGGACTTCCAACAAGCTTCCCCCCCACCCCCAACTGCACCACCAAATACAGCATAGAAATCCTCCCAGGGGAGAAACTCCCTAAACCACAGATTTAGTTAATGACCCCACGCAAACTAGAGGAATTACACAATTTCATTGATAAAAACTTAAAGAGGGGATTCATTCCAGTCTGCTAGGCCATGTGTGACTGTGACTGTCTTATTCCGAGAGAAGAAAGATGGCTCTCTTCACTTAGGTGTGAATTACAAAAATTTGAACACCATTTCCATGGAAAACGTGTACCCTTTACCCCTTGTGTAGGACATGTTAGCTCACTTGGCAAAGGGGAATTTTTTTCACTAAATTAGGTTTAATGGAGGCAT